GAGCAATAATACAAGTTCACAAATTGAGACGAGACATTAATAGAAGATCATAAACAAAATATTACACTGTGCTTACCTTTTTTAGCTCCACAGCACAAAGCTAGAATACAAAATTCACAAACTGAGACGAGACACGAATAGAAGATCATTAACAAAATAAGCTCCAGAGCACAGAGCAAGGATAGAAAATTTACAAATTGAGACTAGACATGGATGCAAGAGCATAAACAAAATGGTTCAGTGTGTTTACCTTTTCTTAGCTCTACAGCACAGAGCAAAAATACAAAATTCACAAACCGAGACGAGACATGAATAGAAGATAATAAACAAAATAATCCACTGTGTTGAACTTTTCTTAGCTCCACAGCACACAGCAAGAATACGGAATTCACAAACTGAGACTAGACATGAATAAAAGATCATAAACAAAGTAATCCACTGTGTTTAACTTTTCTTAGCTTCACAGCACAGAGCATGAATACAAAATTCAAAAAACTGAGACGAGACATGAACATAAGATCATAAACAAAATAAACCACTGTGTTTAACTTTTCTTCTCCAAAGCACAGAGCAAGGATACAAAATTCACAAACTGAGACTAGACATGAATAGAAAATCGTAAACAAAATAATCCACTGTGTCTACCTTTTCTTAAGTCCACAGCACAGAGCAAGGATGCGGAATTCACAAACTGAGACTAGACATAAATAACAGATTATAAACAAAATAATCCACTGTGTTTAACTTTTTTTAGCTTCACAGCGCAGAGCATGAATACAAAATTCACAAACTGAAATGAGACATGAATACAAGAAAATACATGTAAAGTCCCTCAAAAGCTCCTGAAAAGTTTTTTAAACAAATAAGCCAAATAGTGATAAGATATCCAATAGCTGATGGATCCCAATCTCTCAACACACTTTAGCAGCTATTTGCAATAAAGTATCCAATCAATCATTTCCACAAAAAAATCCTGGGTACTTCTGACCTTTAGGCATTCTTGTTCTTGTGACAACAGGACAGAAGTAGAATAAGATGGCCTCTCCGTCTAAATGATGCAGTGCAGTGAATGCACGAAAAGAGACATTCTTTTGTACGGCTGCATACATTGTCCAAAAGATGATTCTTCAGCAAAGAACATGCACTGCAATCGTCACAAAAAAAAAACAAAAGGCGGGCCTGTGTTAACCGAGATGTCTTTTCATTCGCGACTTGCACTTGGTCAAATAGGTGCACTGTTGCTCGTAGGAATACAGTCCACCTTGTATGGACATAAATGGATGGTACTGCTTACAGGCAGCTGTTTATAAAAAACCTGGAAAGACGCATAACAACAGAAAAGCAATCAAAACAGTGTCATACATCGCACGACATCAGACCACAGCACCAAGCAAGCAAGAATACTTACTGCACTGCTAAGTGAATTGCCTACACAAACATATTAGTGAAGTTTACAATGAACTGACCCAGTACGTCTCACAAAGGCAATCAAAACTGTGTCATACATCGCACGACATCAGAACACAGCACCAAGCAAGCAGGAATACTTACTGCCCGTGCTAAATGAATCATTGCACAAACATGTTAGTGAAGTTTATAATGAACTGACCCAGTACATCACACAACAGTTCCAATGACTTACAACAGAAATATTGTATTTAATACACGCATACACCTGCTGCAAAAATACAGAGGTATGAATTATGGGGGGACAAAAATTATCTTTGTTATTTATGAAGCTACAGTGATAAAATTTGGCATGCAGATGTCATTTGTAGTGCTAATATCATAACTGAAATTGGTTTTAAGCTATATAATATAACTTTTGAGTTACAACACTTGATAGACTCTCACTGTCACCCCAAACTTAATTAGCTAGTTAGACTCAAGTTCGTCAAAATTTTTGCATAAGAATATTTACAAGGGTCCATTTTGTGCCGTAACGCTATTGGTTTATTTTTAATATATAAGTATGCACACAAAATTTTTTTCTGAAATGACCTGGACATATCGTCGTACCAACATCATTTACAAAAAGCTAGTTGCAAAAGTCTGTATTATGTGCACACAAATACGGACAGCCTTACGGCGCTCACCAATGTTTCAGAATACAAGTGCAAAAACGGAATGGCTACAGCTTAATTTGCTATGAAATGGCACAGGGATGACTGACAGCAACTGCTCAAAAAATGAACTTGAGAAACTGAAACAAGGAGATTAGAGCCAGTTGCTGATGAAACGGAACTCTGAAGGAGGCTGCCTTTATTTTTCGTGGGAGAAATACGTCTTCGTGGTTATGTTGAGCTCCAATCTGTTCTCTTGTTGATGTTGCGAATATGGTGGCACTTTGCCAAGAGAAGGCTACCTATTTGCATTTTTCAATACCAAATTTTCACATAGCTTTGGACGACAGCCCACCAGTAAAATGCTTGTTTCTTAACTTCTACTACTTGTTTTGATCTAAAATCACACCATGATGTAAAACATGGTCTCTGTATTACAGAAAAAACTAATTGAAAAACTGAACATTTTGACCAAATTCACAATTCTCCTTGTCACGTCCCCCCTCAAAAGTAATTCTATATTACTATTCGAAGATCGCATGTTCAGATCTTGGGTTCTGCTGATGGCAAGTCATCTTTTTGTCCACTTTTTTTCTTTCGATTTACATAACAATTACTCCTAATACCATCCCCTATACTTTGTTTGGCATGATTATTCTTTAGATCTCATTGTGTCTAACAAGGAAAACGAGCCCTTAAATGTACACATCTTTCCTTCATTCATAGCAGTGTGTCTTTTACATATGAACACACTAAAATTGAAAGCTCTAAAAGAATTAATATTACCAGTCCAGTAGTCAAAGAAAGAAACAACCTGTATTGAGAACACTAACAAGGTACTCTAGTGACTCAACCCACCTGTCGAAAAAAAAACACACTTGCCCAAATTACAGAGTTCTCTAGATTTACATAGAAGAGATTTTGTAGCACAGTTATAGAAGAAAGCATTACACGCTTCCTTAGAATCCCCATCAATATGCCCTCTAAAAAACATGGAATTCAAGTGCTACAGTGTTGCCAACCATGAAAGAGGGCACGGAGACAATAAACTTGGCCTCAACCATGGCCACCGCCGATTGGCATGCCCTCCCGGCAGGGTGTGCCATGAAGGACCTAAAACCTCTCTATGTTGCTTAGTCTTTGGTCATGAGTGCAAATTGAATTGAAAGTGAGTTGGCAGAGTGCAGAGGATTTGCAGGCAAAGCACTCGGAATGCTCGAACCTGCCGAAATGTTCGGACTAACGCGAGCAGATACAAAAGCACTGGCTGCACACCTGTGTGAAAAGGCAACTGAACCAGTTATATGCATGCGATAAACCTATTGTAATAGCACTCAATGAAAGTGACCGAAAAGACACAGGTAACCCATTCCAACAACTGCTGAGCATTTCTTATCTGCCGGGTCGAAATAGCTTTCGCTAAAATACTTGGTCTAAGAAAAGTAGCAAGATTATTGTCTTCAAATATTAGTGCACAACTATTTAATATTTCCAAAGTAAATTGCATACACTGCACTATTAAATAAAATACATTGCTGGGCCAAATAATGCAGAGATAAATTAAACACATATGTCTGATTTTGGAAAAAGGATATCAAACATATCCATTTTTGGAGTACCTTGTACCAGACATTGATTTCTTGAGGTTTTTTCAATGCAAAAATAAAAAGTCTTGGCAAAGAAAGCTACACCTTGGCAATTACCAGTGGCTGTTCTAATATGAGCAAAATTTGTTAACACAGAAACGTGGCCCAGTACACCATTAAAGTGTTCTGTGAAGTTCAGAAAAAAAAATCTACTAAAGTTTCTCGAAACACTAAAAAAATGTGTGACCATTTCTTTTTTTGGGGGGAGGGACAGAGGGGAAACTTGTAAACAGTATGTCTGTATGAATACGATAGCATGATTGATCCTACACAAGTAGAATATGGCTGCACAAGCGATGCGTATTTAGGTACTCACATTTATGAATAGATTTCTCACTCATATAAACGTGCATCATTACCTTTACACTGCTACTCAAAAGGAGTACACTTAAATTTTCCATGACTTATTTCTTTCCCCTTGATTTTAGAATATTGTTTGTATATCTGAGAAAAAATCTAAAATGAGGTTGGAAACATGTAATAATTATATATTTATACACGCCAAAACCATTACATTATGAGGCATGCCGTAGAAGAAAGCTCCAACCTTTCTAACATCTGGTGCTCTTTAACGTGCACTGATATCACGAAGTACATGGGCCTCCAGCATTTCGCCACCATTGAAATGCAATCCCCGCAGTCGGGATCAAACCTGCAACTTTCAGGTCAACACCCAAGCACCGTAACTTGCTACACAACCATGGTGGACATGTTATAAATATTGAAGAAATACTTGATTATACCTTTTCGTGCACACATTCAAGCTACGACGCATTTGAAAGGTGCGCAAGAAAAATGTGCTAGCACGCTCATGTACTATAAAACGCCACATGAATCATTATTCACATTTCAAAAGATATGTAGCATTATGACATAAGAAAAATAGATTGGGGTGGGCAAAAACAAAAACACAGCTGCTATAGCTCAATTTATGAATCATCGAACATGTAAATAGGAAATAGTGATTCAATGCCTTGGCTGTGAGTTTTCATGTTTGTTTTTTTCACCTACTTCCATTCATAGTGCCTGTGGTTTTTGTGATGATGCGAGTATTACCCAAAGTGGTGCATAGTTGTGTCGATACTCACATCATAAGAAGCTGACCTCATCGCACCCTCTTTTACGACTCTCTTTCCCTACTTCGAATTCATGCCGTTCTCCCTCGTGAGATTCCACACTATGTTGCACTCTGAACCTCAATCTACTCTTTCAATGTTACCCCAATGAACACACTCTCTCCACTCTGATGCACCTCCCCCCTCTTAAAGAAGGCCACTAAACGGCTCACTTTTTATGGTTTCTTTTTTCCATGACGCCGGGACATGTGGAAGCTGAGTGGCTGTTTTCCATAAAATGGTGCGTTGCAGAGGTCACAGGAAAACGGAAGCTCTCCAGTGTGGATGCGCAAGTGTTGCATGAGGGTCTCTTTCGCTGAGAACGATGCACTGCAGCGGTCACAAGAAAAGGGACGCTCTACTGTGTGGCAGCGCATGTGTCGAGTGAGGTGCGTTTTCTGCGAGAACGATGCACTGCACTTGTGACAAGCAAAAGGGCGCTTTCCCGCGTGGGTGGGAATGTGTTCTTTGAGATCAGTGTACCGAGAGAATGTAGCTGGACAGAAGTGGCACTGGAAGGGACGCTCCCCTGGGTGTTTAGAAAGGTTCCTTTGCATATCCCTTTTGCGATTGGTCTTGTAGGTGCCCTGGCGATGAATATGCAGACCACCTTGTTCAGATACAAGTGAATGGTCCTGCTGATGGGATGGTGAAGGCGAGGAACCTGCAAAGCTACAGGGAGATCAGAAGGCCAATGAAAAATGTGTTAAATACATTGTCTGCATAGGCGATGAAGAAAGGTTGTTGCACTAGTAAATTGAAGAACTCGATTACCTTTGCCTATACAAACCACATGTTTCTGGAGCAGCAGCTGTGTACTGACATGACAGCTTTTGCAAAGTTCTCTTCTGTGTACATGAATCAATCAATGAAATACATGTAACAATCTCCCGTGAAGGCATAGGAGTCTGATATGAATGAAATTCTGATACTGGGCCTAGACAGCAAATTTCTTGCTAATAAGTAAACACATTAGGCACCAGCATAATGCATTTATTTTACTTTCTTATTTGCATAATGTTGCATAGCACCAACACCACCTCATTATTCAAGACACGAAGTGCAAGAAATAAAGTATAGATGAAAACGTCAATATGAAACAAACTGGGAAAGATGATTACAGGAAAACAATGATTTCAAGAGATTGAATGGCATCGCAGTTTTTAGCTGGCAAGAGATGAAAGCACGTTTCTGTGGTCTGCAGAACAAGTTGTTTTGATGCGTGCTGGCACAGTTTACAGATTCCCGATTTTTACCTCAACCCTGCATCAAGGAAAGCCTAATCATACCACACAATCCTATGGAACCTATTCATCTCATAATGTTTCAGACAAACAATTGCATGAATTGGAAAGTATTCCCCTTCATCACAATATAAAAATGATTATACTGAATGAAGACTATTGATACCCTATACTTTACATTCAATACAACTGTCCAGATTTGCCGGAAAGGTCAAAGTACCTTTGATATATTACGGGGCAATTCACTCCACACAATGAACTAAATGTATTCCAAGAACTATTTAAAACAAATGCTAAGGGGAAAAACATGAATTATTGGTAAAACATTTCATGACAAAAAGAGCATAAATAAGACATTTAGGCAAACTTAAATAGTTTTTGTTGTGCAGTAAGTGGCTGAGTAAAAAAACAAATGAAGTTTGTCTTTATTAACTGACTACCTTATTGATTTCAAAGAACACAGACTTCTGCATCAAGGTTTTAATGAGTGAAATGCATAATGAAGTAATGCAAGCTTGTCTTTGCACATTTGCATAAGTCAGTGTAAAATAAAAGTGCCACTACCAAGTATTGATTTAACTTCGTTGCAACACTGGATAAAGGAAGTCAACACAGTGCCCTCGTTTTTCTCATGTAAATACCCACACTCGAACCTCCAAAGAACAAATCCAGATGTAATAAAATATTCGTTTATTTATTATAACAAAGTAATAGTCTTGCAATAAATATTGTTAGGAACGTACCTTTAAAACAAGTTTTTGGATATAACAAACTTAATTTACTGTATGGTGATACTTCATTACGATGAGGTTTGAATGTAGATTCAACTAGTGCTTTGTATAATAAACACAATTTTTTTGCACTGATGACTGAGAAATGTACATTAGAATAAAATGTACTATTTTCTTCCCAATGTCATCTGACTAACAGGGTAGAAAAAGAAAAGTGGGCCTGTCAGTGATATCACTATTATCATACTAAATTCATTACACATTAGGATGCAACATAAGTGTAAAATAATGAATTATTCATGATAGAAAACTGGTGAAGTGCATTTTCGGCAATATTCAAGCATGCAACTTTTTGGTTGTTCTGTGGAAGGACTGGATACACCTGCAACAGCAAACAGACCACTATTAAAGCCAATACAAACAAAACAGTACACTCAAACCTGCTTTATACCCTTGCCATCAACTAAGCTTCATTGTTAGAAATTCCACAATCCAATTTTTCAGTACTGCAAATGGTACATAATTTCATTAGTAACTAATTTGATGTCAGTATTATTCCTTAGATAAAAGCAACATCTAAACATAAGGCAATACATGCTTGAGGAATTGAAATCAGAGGGAAATTAAAACTGAATATCTACAGCGGTGAAATGCTGATGTATATAGAATATGTAGGCCCAGTGAAAACTAGCACGCGAGTATCTATTTCCCCATTCTTGCAAACTACAAGTGCTGAAACTATAAGAGATGTAGCTGTTGTGGCTAAAAAAAATGGGTGAATTACTGCACCCATTTTAATTCAATAGTTGATTTCGTGCCGAAATCCCGACCACATAAAATAATTATTGATTGATATGTGGGGCTTAATGTCCCAAAACCACACAAATGAAGAAAACACAGGACAAGTGCTAATGTGTGCCAGATGCCAGGAAATCGAACATGTAGACAGTTTCATTCACATTTAGCAACATGTTTAGATGGTGTCACCCTCGAGTCTTAGCAAGAATAAAGTACGGTGCTTAGAAGAGAACACACATGCAGGACTTCAGCCAGAGAGAAAATGCAATTTGATGCACTACGTTTTTGTACAACACTGTCCCTTGTTGTCGTGCACACACAAAACAAATGTCCAATTTTGTTACTTTGGCTTTGAGACAGTTAAAAATATTTATCAGCACCAATATTAAAAAATTAAAGTCATAAACAGCATTGAAAGGGCTGCAGAAGATTCAATAAGAGACAGGGCAGATGATTTTGCATGCTGAAATAAAAAGGTTGGGAAAAAGATAATGCAAAGGCAATCTATTTCATTTCAGGGACTTTTATTATCAGTAAGGTTTGTCGATGCAAACGCTTCTATGGGCATAAAGCATCAAGGCAACTTAAGGTGTATATGCATCAGTGTAGTTGATGACTATGCCCAATTGTAACGTGGCTGTAAAAAACGTAAAATCCTGCGCACCAAACTTACATCAAGTACATAAAAATAACACAGCAATCATAATGAAATAAATTTTGCCGTTAAGCATGTATTTTACAAGGAGCCCTGACACCAAAACTGACACGTCAGTTGATGGTGTTTTCTAAATTCTAACTGATTATTAGTTGGAAGCATTGCATTCAGATTTATTAAATTTGGTTGTAAAGAAATGTGAATGGTTATGTGAGTTTGCAGCATCTTGCAGTACCGATACCGATGAAAAGCATGTGCTTTTAACATCCTGTCATAGCTACAATAGGACACAAAAGCACACAAAATCAATTCTTCATAAGGAATACACTCTAGACAATACAACTGCCAACTAACAGCAAATGTACACCAAACCACTTCAACAGCGATGGACAGATAATTGTTAAATACTATCCAATATCACCTTTCACATCTGTTATTGTTTTTCTCATTATTACATATGTAATATGCAACTGCCAGAAATTTAAAATTTAACAAAGCATTTTCAGCCTACCCGCACTAAACAGTAGTCAAAGCTTAGTCACCAGAGCATGACCGTAGGATTACCTAAAGGTCCTTATCGAGGTTATGATTAACAATTACATGTTTTTTAAGTGACATGCACTTAACCATTTCATATAACTTGAAGGCAGCTTTCAACAGTAAAATTTTATTGTTCAATCGTGTTTTGCCGCAGTAACACTGCTCCTGCCCTTCAGAGATTTTTTTTTTTGTGACAACGGGCATGCGTTCTTTGAGATGGTTTTTACAAGAAAAGGATCCATTGCAGTGAACACGGAAAACGGGCGCTCTCCTGTGTGGGTGAAAATGTGGTTTGTCACAGAGTGGTTCTCAGAGAATGCAGCCAGACACAGGGATGCTCGTCAGTGTACTTGCAAAAGTGTCTTTGCATGTGCGATTAGAACTCAGTCACATAGGTGCACTGATGGCAGGAATGCAATCTTCCTTGTACAGAAGCAAACCAATTGTATTTCTTGTGTGATCTCACAGACAAGGAACCAGTGAAACCGCAAGGAGAACCGGAAGGCAAAGTAAAACATCTGCTCCGACAAGGAATTACCTCAAAGAACCAGATAATTCCTACACATTTCCTACACATTTATGTGAGGCGCATTGTAACCTTTGCCTATCTAGATCCCGTTATATTGAAGCAGTTACAATCCTACGGCCAAGTAAACATCTCAAATGAGTTACCACATCTCGGTACATAAGCACCTTGCTTAATGTTATGCTTAATAAAGCAATTAAAAAGTTAGATGGCCCATGCCCAGAGGTAGTGCCACAGAGGTGATGTGGTAAGGAGATGACAAACGATAATTAGAGGATACAGTGAATTAAATCAGAATTAAGGCAAATGAAACCTGTAAGTGTAAAGAATTAATAGAATGTGAACCAAAAACTAATCAATGAAGAACAATGAGAAGTACCACGAAGAATTGTTTCGATAACATACCAACGTATCTTACAGTGAGATAAAATGTTGTGACCACTTACATCGTTGAACACTTACAAATTCAACAGCATGCGTTACTACACAAGTAGCTTTATTCAATGCTTTGAAACTATAAAAGACTGAGAACAAAATCTTGTGCCTATGACAGAAACATAAAATAGCAATGATGTCCACTTCTTTGTTCACCATTTAGTATTAAGATATGCAGAAGCAGATAACCTGCAAATAATCTGCAAATGTCATCGAAAGACGATAGTCTTGCGTGTGGAGAGAGTAAAATAAAACATTTATTTGATGTTCTGCGCAAGAAAATCGGTGAAATGTATTCCGGAGGCGCTGCGTTAGAGTGCCTCGAGCGTGCAGCGGAGGCGAACGAGCGCATCAAGTCACGTCACACGTGAGACATGAGCGCCATCTGGCTGTTTTTTTTTTGGAAAACAAAGCGCGTGGCCGTGCGCGCCCGTCTCACAGGGGATAAGCTGTGGAACGCGAGGCGACGGGTAGGTGCCACTACCATCTTGTCTTAGCAAATGGTTGAAAACACTCCCTGTTTTGTGCAAGCGTTGCATGGTAAGCGCAGCGTGATAAGCGCTACGGTTCTTTAAGTTACTTATGTATGCGTTCTCTAGTAAGAGATGCATAGGCAGAATATATGCGTGTTGTTATAGTGCCCCAGACATGCGCAATAATTGCTTTTTAATTAACAACTGCACAAGCATGAACGCTAAACCTTGAGCAACATTCGCGGTCGCTGCAGGTAGAGTC